TACATTCATTACTATCAACTGTCTGTCCACGTCCCTGTGCCGTTTCCCCTTCGGCCCCTCGCACCAGTTAGGCCCTTCCCCTCAGGGCCTGCAGCCTGGCAGGCTGGAGTTACCTTCTGCTCCCCCAGGCCTGCCCAGCACTGCGCTGTCCCAGGTGCTAGTCTCCCAGCTCTAGAGACAGACCTTCCCCTCTAGAAGGCCTGGGACAGACTGCCTGCTTGCTCCCTGAGCAGCCTTTTATAGGGCTGAGCCTGGCCCTGATTGGCTGCCTCCAATCTGGGCTCTGATTGGCTCCCAATAAGTCCTTCCCTGATTGGCTGCCCATCTGCGCAGGCCCACTGGCCTGCTGCAGCCTTAATTCTCAGGGAGTGGGGCAGCTGCCCCACTACACACCCTCCCCCTTAAGAACTCTCTCAGGGGGGAATTCCCTGTTACCCCTGTGCTCCTCGCAGCTGGGCCCTCAGGGAATCTCTCTCATAGCACAGGTCCTCCACTAAGTGAAGCCACCTGCTCTGCATGGGCTCTGGCAGTGCCGCAGCCAGACTAGGGTCGGCTGCCCCCGGGCTACTTCCTACCTCCCCCTGTTTGTGTGTTGCCCCACTCTGACCCAGGGCCTGGGCCTGATACTAAACTATTTTGCTCAGCCCCTGCCTGAGGGCCTGAGCTCCAGATTGTGTGTTGCCCCACCCTGACCCAGGGCCTGGGGCCTGATATTGAACTATTTGCTCAGCCCCCTGCCTGTGGCCTGAGCTCTAGACTGTTTCCTGTCTCACCCGGCTAGTTCCCTGACTCAGCGGACTTCAGTAGTGAGACAGCCTGGCTCCCAGCCGCCCCAGAGAGGGGCGACCCTAACAAACCCCTTTACAGGCAGGATTCTAATTTTCAGAAGAGGAGATGTTCCATACTGGTTTGTGAAAAGGAGGCATTTGGCTTTTATCAAACTAACAAGAACACATGTACGTGAACTCTTCCCTTGCTCCACACAGCTTTTCAGAGCTTGTTCAAAAAGTCAGAGGTTCCAAGGCCAGAAGGGCATTGGGGTCATGTAGGCTGAACGCCTGTATTATGCAGGCCAGAGAACTTCCCAAAATAATTCCCAGAGCAGAGCTTCTAGAAAAACTTCCAACCTTGATTTAAAAGTGTCAGTGATGGAGAATCCACAACATTATTCTATTGATTCATCATTTCTGTCATGAATCTCATGCTCCACTTAATAAAAAGAGAGCATATCAGGTTACATTTAGCCTCAAATTTAAGGGAATAAGGTCAACCCAGGGAATTATAGACCAGTCAGCTTCATTTCAGTACCCAGGAAGATAATAGAGTAAATAAGCAATCAATTTGCAGACACCTAGAAGATAATAGTAAGGTAAGATAATAGAAGATAAGTAACAGTCAGCATGAATTTATCAAAAACAAATAATGTTAAATTAACCTAATGCTTTCTGTGACAGGGTAACAAGCCTTGTGGCTAGGGGGGGAAGTGGTAGATGTGGTAAGGCTTTTGGTACTGTCTGACATGACCTTATCATAAACAATCTTGGAAAATATAGCCTAGATGGAGCTACTCTGAGGTGGGTGCATAACTGGTTGCAAATCCATTCCCAGAGAGTAGTCATCAATGGTTCACAGTCATGTTGGAAGGGCATAATGAGTGGGGTCCTGCAGGGATCAGTTCTAGGTCTGGTTCTGCTCGATATCTTCATCAATGATTTAGATAATGGCATAGAGAGTACACTTATACAGTGTGTGGGAGGGGTTGCAAGTGCTTTGGAGGATAGGATTAAAAGTCAGAATGATCTGGACAAACTGTAGAAATGGTCTGAAGTAAATAGGATGAAATTCAATAAGGACAAATGCAAAGTACTCCACTTAGGAAGGAACAATCAGGTGCACATATACAAAATGGGAAAAGGCTGCCTAGGAAGGAGTACTGTAGAAAGGGATCTTTGGGTCCTAGTGGATAGCAAACTAAATATGAGTCAATAGTGTAACACTGTTCCAAAGAAAGCAAACACATTCTGGGATGTATTATCAGGAGTACTGTAAGCAAGACACAAGAAGTAATTTTTCCACTCTACTCTGAGCTGATTAGGCCTCATCTGGAGTATTGTGTCCAGTTCTGGGCACTACATTTCAGGAAAGATGTGGACAAATTGGAGAAAGTCCAGAGAAGAGCAACAAAAATGATTAAAGATCTAGAAAACATGACCTATGAGGGAAGATTGAAAAAATTGGGTTTGTTTAGTCTGGAGAAAAGAAGACTGAGAGGGGACATAACAGTTTTCAAGTACATAAAAGGTTGTTACAAGGGGGGGGGGTGAAAATTTGTTCTCTTTATCCTCTGAGGACAGGACAAGAAGCAATGGGCTTAAATTGCAGCAAGGGAGGTTTAGGTTGGACATTAGGAAAAACTTCCTAACTATCAGGGTAGCTAAGCACTTGAACAAATTACCAAGGTAGGTTGTGGAATCTCCATCACTGGAAGTTTTTATGCACAGATTAGACCAACACCTGTCAGGAATGGTCTAGTTATTACTTAGTCCTGCCTTCAGTGCAGAGGACTGGACTAGATGACCGCTCGAGGTCCCTTCCAGTCCTACACTTCCCTGATTCTCTTCCCTTCCCTTTCTCCCCTTCCTACCCCACACAGATAGAAATTCTACTGCTGCATTTGCAATCCAAACATTGTCACATTATTCTTATCCACAAGGACCCTAGTGTAAATTTCACTGTGTGCAAGAGTGAAACAGACTAGTCCATTTCCTTGTCTAAAAATGCAAAAACAATCCCCACAGAGCTAACAGCGTCACCCACATTACAGCAAAATGCAAGTCATAGAATTCAGTTTTGATAATCTATGGTTTTATTTGCATCATAGGTAAGGTTATTTGCTTTTTGAGAAGATGCTTTAATATCCCTGTCCTATCGTGGGTAATTTGATTTATAAACTGCAGATGGTCCTTTTAGTCTGTCAGCACAGTAAGCTAGGTAAGCAGACAGCTATTCTGAGGAGGGGAGCAGATGAGAGGAGTTGTGCTATGATACCATGAAAAAAACAAAAATCTGTGAACTGGCGTGTCAGAGCTGGATTTGGTGTTTGTTTGTTCTGAGTGGACAGTGTCCCTTCAAGACACAACATGAAGTGAGCAGCGGGGAATGGCCCTAAACAGCTCTGCTACTGCTGTAGTGAGAGGGCAAGACGATTCTCTTCCTTGGTCACCTCCTCAGGACAGCTACACAGTCAGCCTGGAAAGTGCTTAACTAACCACTCAGCAGAACTTTCTATTCTCCTGGCTCAGCCCTGCATTGAAAGCGTCACTGTACAGTGTCTAGCATCCAGGTGCCATTGTGGTGCAGATACAGAATCACCACAATTTAGTTATTTTGAAACCATTTTTGAAACTTTGCAAAGCACGTCTCAGCAAAAGCCCTTTCTGCACAGCCAGTTTGAATTGTGAGAACAGAATTGTCTTTTAGTCCTCTGCAAAAAGTGGGTCAGCTTTTTATTACTTTTAAAGTGGGAAAAAATGTACTTTTCCCCTCAGTTTCAGTGTAGCTGACATTTTTCCCTCAGACTCTCTCAAAAGTTTACTCTAAAAGGAAAATCTCTGGCGTATGCACAGTTTGTGAAGAAGGACCAATAGTGGGAACTGTTATGCTATCTTATAGCGATCACAACGAATGAATTTATCCTCCTCGCACATTTCCAACAGAGGAAACTGAGGTACAAGGTCCCCTGAGAACTACATGGCAGAGCTGGGAATTGACCATCGCTCCCGAGTCCTTGCCCACAAGACCTTCCTTCTGACTGACCTGTAACCCATTCCTTCAGACAAAATGTTTCTAATGCCAGGCACTTCTTGGAAGCCAAGCAAAACCTTGGCCATGAGCTTTCCATTTCCAGTCATTCCAGTGCAACCTTGCACTGCTTAATCGCTGCAGCAGGTGTGAGAGCTGTGTCACGATCCCCTGTACCTCTAAGGGAAAGGAACAAATCCAAAGGGCATAGTCACCCTTTTACTACCACTGCAGCTCCAATTTGCAAACATCTCACCAATTATATTTAAAAATGCTTGAAACGTCGCTACTTGTATGTCTAATGATCTCAGAGCACCTCAGCTAGTATTTTTCTGTTAATTAACAGGAACCATAAACACATGTGAAAATGATTTAACGATTGTAGTGTTCTTGGATTTGCTGCAGTGTCTACTAGGCTGAGTATTTCCTTAAAGTACAATATTTTTATACTTGACTATATTTTTAGTTATTAGTGCTTATTTTAAATACTAGACAACTATACTATAAAACGACAAGCATTATTTCAATGTGGCAGCCATGAACAGTCTGATATAGAGTGCCGTAATACCACCTTCCTCTTTTCTAGCACTTCTAATCCATAGTTCTCAAAGCACGTAACAAAGCAGACCGTGCCAGTAGCCCAATTTTACAGATGGGGAAACTGAGGCACAAAGATAGCTGTGACTAGCCCAAGGCCAACCAGTAGACAGTGACAGAGTGGGGAATACAAACCCAGGTCTCCTGAGAGCCAGTTCAGCACCCCAGCCACTAGATCACACTGCCTGATGCTGCACCTCCCTTCCTATCTGCGCAAACCTTGGTGGGTGTAGGTAGAATTGGAGAGTGAGCCAAAGCCTCCCCCACCTACCCCAAATACACACACAAGATACTGTTATCGTATTATTTCTGGCCATGCAAAGAGGATATGCTGAGACCCTGCGGTGACTTCTGGATGCTAAAATGCCACTCCCTTCCTGCTCCAGGAAGGTTAATTCAAGAGCTCTACCAAGGCCAAATCAATGCAGATGTGCTTGGGCAGGGCAGGAAAAATACTCGAATTGTTCCAATACGCCACAGAAAGTTGCCTAGTGGATCTGAAAAATTGTGACTCCCCCCTCCACCCTGCTCTTCTCAGCACAGCATGGCTAACACATTCCAACCCAGGGGCCCGGGAGACAATGTTAGGTACTTACTGTGGTAATGGGGCCCATGTATCTGAGTACCTCACCATCTTTATGGCTTGACCCTCCCGTCCCCCTGTGAGGTCAGGCAGTGCTGTTATCCCCATTGTACCAAAGGGGAGCTGAAGCCCAGAGAGACGAAGAGTATGTCTACACAGCAAAAAAAGAAAAAGAAACAATAAAAAGCAACAACAAAAGGCAGCAAGTCTCCAAGTCCGCTGTACAAACTCAGAATTATTGTCAGGGGTATTTAGCAAAATCAAATTTTGCCAAACGTGACTTTTTTTTCTTAGCCAATTTGGGCACAGTTGGCAAAAGTTGCTTCTGCTAAATTCCACTTACAATAATTCCTCCATTTTATTTTGCATTTTTTTGGAACCTACAGAGTCAACATTTCATGGGAAACATCAAAGAAGGTGTTCTGCTGTTTCTGGGACCCCTGGAGGTGGGGAAAACCACCTGAAACTGCTGCTGGCTGCTGTGGGAGAAGTCATTGGAGCAGATTGCCAGGAGGAGGGATAGGGCAGAGAAAGCACTGTCCAAGGTGGCAGGATACCACAGGCTAGATGGGGGAGACAGGCAGGAGAGAAGACAGGCTCCCAGCAGAAGCAAAAGGAAAGAGACTTCAGCAGCAAATCCGGCAGCTTATTCAAATAGGAAGGCTGGAGGTTTGGGCACAACCAGACTCTGAGGGCTGCATGTGCCTGCACCTGTCTCCAGAACCCAGTCTTTCTCCGGTCAGAGGAGAAACCCAATGAGAACAGAACCAGGGTGTCCCAATTCTGACTTGTCCGCTTTAACTACCATTGTTCCTCCAGTCAGGGACGGGGGTGTGAATTCATCCCTAGGGCTGAGAAAAATGGGATTGCTTCTGAATCTCCCTGGATGAGGCTTTTGCATTAGAAATAGCTGTAGCCTTCACGCAGTCATGCATCTTCACCTAGAAGTATAGATTTCCCAAAGATTGTTCTTAGTCCCCTAAGCCATGCCAAGTCCTGAGATAGCTTTCTGCCTTTCACACTCAGTGTACACATTTGTATCTAAGTCACTCTGGAAACAAACCTGATTATTTAGAGTGGAATGCGTGTTTAGTTTATGTGAAACATTATGAGAGTGTGGATGCAAATGACTGGCTGGATATGGATACATAATGAGTGATTTGTACATGTAATCACAGTAAATGCATGTGCAAATTGGGCATCTGTTTATGCACATGGATCGTAGGAAATAAGATTCAGAACTTTTGAAACACATTTCTCTATGTTTGCGTTGTGGTCTTTCAAATGCTTTCTTTTTCAATTCAGCAAGACATTATCAGTCAGGATTTTCAAACTCTTCTACTGGGACCAGGTATGTATGTCTCACTCTCCACATGTTGTAACTCAACATTTTCAGTATTTAATCTTCAGAGTCAGTTTCTTCCTTTCAGATTTAATAAGTCCTTAAAAGCCTGAATATTCCATTTGTAAGTTACAGTCCCCTGTGCTGATAGCTTTGATTCTCTCCTTGGCATGTAGCCTGTGATCAAGTTGGCCGAATGACACTCATGTGTGTCACAGGGAAGCAGAAGCCTTGAAGGATTGTATCTAACAGTGCAACTTGCATTGCTTTAAGCCTGTGTGGGAGACAATTTTCAAAGCTCTAAGAGGATTCTGCAAGAATTATAGCCTGAACTAAGCCAGGTTTTGTCTTCAAAAGCACTGAAATCCCCATGAGAGCAGAATTTATTTTTCCAGGTTGGAAGGCGTCTTGAAGGACAGTTAAGTAGTGAGCTCTCACAAAGCAGTCCAGACAAATGATGCAGGTATCAGACATCCATTGGAGAGAAGGTAACCTTTGACAATAGTCATGCTGTACAAATTTGAAAACACTCTGAGTGTTAAGAACTAATTGGGATCTGTGGGTGGGGGGGAATCTTAAGTAGAAAATTTGCTAGGAGTGGAAACTTTAAACTTGGGCTAGCACAGATACAGTTAAACAAAACCTGTGCAACGTTCAAGTATTTTAGTCAATTTCTTCTTAGAAGTATGGCCTAGCAGGGAAGTTAGCTACCTCTTTCTGCTCTCTCCCCCTCTGATCAGCACCAACGGCATCTAGAGATGAACATTTAATTTGCAAAGATGACTGAGGAAAGTGACAAGCCTGGAGTTCGCTTGCAATAACACCTTCCTAAAGCCAATGTGTTGAAAATAACAATAGAGTTTATTGATGCTCCCAGCACATTTATCAGACAGCGAAACAGAACTCTTCCGGACAACGGAGAAATACCGACACAGCAAGATTAACGGCAGGGCTCTGAGCGCTATCCGCTGCCTCAAGTCTCTGAGGAACCTGACGTGTCCTATATAGAAACCAAATGCTGCTGAAAACACGACAGACTAGACTCCCTGCCTTTGCTTTCCCTGTAGCTGGAGAACAATAGCACAGGGCCCCCATCCAGAAAAGTGATTCAGGCCATGTCCCAGGGTCATAAAGGGGAAGCCTGGGTAAACCTTCATAGAATCATAGAAGATTAGGGTTGGAAGAGACCTCAGACAGTCATCTAGTCCAACCCCCTACTCAAAGCAGGACCAATCCCCAACCAAATCATCCCAGCCAGGGCTTTGTCAAGCCGGGCCTTAAAAACCTCTAAGGACGGAGATTCCACCACCTCCCTAGGTAACGCATTCCAGTGCTTCACCACCCTCCTCGTGAAATAGTGTCTCCTAATATCCAACCTCGACCTCCCCCACTGCAACTTGAGACCATTACTCCTTGTTCTGTCATCTGCTACACTGAGAACAGCCGAGCTCCATCCTCTTTGGAACCCCCTTTTAGGTAGTTGAAGGCTGCTATCAAATACCCTCCCCCCCACTCTTCTCTTCTCCAGACTAAACAAGCCCAGTTCCCTCAGCCTTTCCTCATAAGTCATGTGCCCCAGCCCCCTAATCATTTTTGTTGCCCTCCGCTGGACTTTCTCCAATTTGTCCACAACCCTTCTGTAGTGGGGGGCCCAAAACTGGATGCAATACTCCAGGTGTGGCCTCACTAGTACCGAATAGAGGGGAATAATCACTTCCCTTGATCTGCTGGCAATGGTCGTACTAATGCAACCCAATATGCTGTTAACCTTCTTGGCAACAAGGGCACACTGCTGACTCATATCCAGCTTCTCGTCCACTGTAACCCCCAGGCCCTTTTCTGCAGAACTGCTGCCTAGCCATTCGGTCCCTAGTCTGTAGCAGTGCATGGGATTCTTCCATCCTAAGTGCAGGACTCTGCACTTGTTCTTGTAGAACCTCATCAGGTTTATTTTAGTCCAATCCTCCAATTTGTCTAGGACATTCTGGATCCTATCCCTACCCTTCACTCTTTATTGGGTAAATCCTGCATCCTTGGAACTGGTGTCATTCCACAACATTGGTGGAGCAGAATTTAATGCACCAGGCTTGGCTCAAATGTTATATCTACACAGGGATAAAAGCCCTGTGGCATGGCCGGGGCTGGCCCAGGTTAGCTGCCTGAGGTTTGCGGGGCTTGGGCTATTGGGCTGAAAAACTGCTGTGTAGACGTTCAGGCTCAGGCTGGTGTCTGAGCTCTGGGACCCTCCCTCCTGGGGTGCCCCAGAGCTCAGTTTACAGCCCGAGCCCAAGCATCTACACAGCAGCTTTTCAGCCCCGAGAGCCTGACCCAGGCCAGCTGCGGGTTTTTTATCTCTGTGTAGAGGAACCCTATAGGGCTCTTTGCAGAGGAGGCTAATGAAGCCCTGAGGCTGCAGCGTGCAGGTCCTGCTGCTCTGCATAGGGAAGGAGATACCTCTTCCCCAGCCCCTGTTGGTTGCAACTGTGTGAAGCTCAGCTGTATAGGTCGGGGAGGATCTAGTTCAAGAATCTTTGTGGGGCCTTTTCTCAGTTGAGCTGCCTGTATGCATGGCACATACCCCATGTAATGCTTGGCAGCTTCAGAGCCCCTTCCCTGGAGGCTCCACAGAGTGCCGGAAAGCTGTGAGATAAAGCTCAGAAAACCCCTTCGAGGTGGGCACTTTTTACCTTCCAGTGACCACTGGTAACATAAGTTCTTCGGTCCTCAAGGATTGTTCAGGGAGGCCTTCCAAAAAGAGGAGGAATACTTACGGAGGCCCTTGACTTACTCCTAGGGTTAGGGATGTCACCTATTAGGCCAAAGTGTCAGCACAGTTCTAAACAGCTTAGTACCTTGTTGCACATCAGCCTAGTTATTAACTATAGCAAAGGGCATGATGGACAGAAACAAAGAATCTTGGCCTTTTGCCTGTATCCCCTGAATTTATTTCCAAAGCAACATTCAGAGCAAAAAGCGAAAAACAGATCAATCCAGCTTCGCTTAAAGAAAAAGTTTTACCTGAGATTATAACGGATCATCTCATCACGTCGGCACTAACGGTCAGTCTTTCCATTGCTGTTTTAAAAAGGCTCCAAATGACTGGCCTCAACTAAGGACGAGTCCCTCCGCTTGACGGAATGTAGTAAGATTAGCCGAGAGCGTGTTCGAAGGGATAAAGCTCAACACTACGTGCTCCGAGCAGTAAGGGCACATGCATTAGTATCAAACCAAAGTACGTAGGTTTTCTCATGGTAGCATTATACAAATTAACATCATTGAGGTTTATTTTTTGCCAATAAACTGATACCAGACAAACAGCGGTCCAGCCCAAAAATGCTCATTTGACCCTGCATAGCTCTAAATTCATAGTGTATCCTGTATACTGGCTGGATTTAAAAAAATGAACCTGTCTAAGTAAGAAGTACAATATTTTCCAGTGTTGCGCGCCTAGTCTTCAACTGGCTCATTTGACAGCAATTTCTGGATAATGGAATAGTCCATGTTCACACATTTCAGCATTTTTCATGTTTTCTGCCCCTCGTGATCTGCACTGAACTGGAAATTGCTGAGGTCGACAAGGGAGCTAGCAACCTTCATATTGCACTTCAGGTCATGATACTATGCACTGAAGTACAGTTCTCCCATCACTGAAACATGAAGGCAACAGGAGTGTGCACCCAAGGCACTAGAATTGGGGCTAGTAAAAAATTTTCCATTTAAACTGTTTTGATGGGAAAATGGGGTTTTCACCTAAACAATTTAACAAAAAGCATCTGCTTCCTGTAGAAAATCTTGAGTTGGAAAAGCCT